GTTTTAACCATAGAGTGATAAATCCAGGGAGTCACTTCCGCCACCTTTACAGTTCACAAACTTGTCCAAGTATGTTCTCTTTAGTATTCTGGGGTATATGTTACTGGCGGAGGCTAACAAGATGAGCCCCAAGTTTTAGTTCAATATATATGGGTGAACTATTACGAGCAAGTCCTGGAGGATTGTTTTATGCCCATACTCCTGGAATGTCAAATAATGATCCATTACTCTTTGGGTTCAGGGTTACTATTGTATAATACAGATGCCATTATTCTTCTTTTGGCATCAGTACAGCTAACATGCCTAGTGAATTATTAATTTGCAGGGACGTTGATGCATTGGGTAGAAATGTTATCTGTGCTTGAAGCTTTGACAATAGATCTCATCCTAGAAGTTGAATTTGGCACTCAGGCATATATAGGAACTCATTTAGAATAAGATGGCCCCCTAGTGTACAAGTACGATTACTGAGAACCGGTCTAATAGCTCCTTTCCCAGTAGCTCCTAATACAGTAACAGTCTTTCCAGAGGGAGGGGCTACTAATTTGGTCACAACAGAGTGTTCAGCACCCATATCAATCATGAAGGGACTTTTCTTTCCCCCTATTGTTACTTCTACCATAGGCTCTGCTCAGCCAAGGTGGATAAAGCCCGGTCTCTATCAATAGTCCTCCATAGGCATGTGCATGGGGAAAATTTTACGGTTCGGCATTCCGAAATTCGGGACTTTCGCAATTCGGCACTTCGGAAATTCGGCAATTTCGGAACTTCAGCATTTTGGAATTTCGGGACTTCGGCACTTCTTTTGCAACTGCTTAGTAGATAACTCCCTAATTCCCACGGTATTAGGGAGTTATCTACCAAAAGGCTGAAAGACCTAAATTGGTCTTTCAGCCAAATTTAATAATACTAAGTAAAAATTACTTAGTATTAGTAAATTTTGCCCCTACTCGCTATACTGCGAGTAGAGGCATGTCTAGTAAACAGTGAGCAGCCTATGGCTGCTCACAGTTAAAAAAATTTTTTTTTAAAAATAGCCCCCCCGGCCCTACGCTGTGTAATTTGACTCATAACTCTCTGATTGGTGGATTAAGTAACCAATCAGAGAGTTATGAGTCAAATTACACAGCGTGGGATAATTCCAAAGAACTTTCCCACGCTGTGTAAAATGACACAGAGCACTCTGATTGGTGGATTTCAAACCAACCAATCAGAGTGCTGTGACAGGTAAATGTAGGGACTTACCTGTCAGTCTCTTCATTTACCTGTCATATCACTCTGATTGGTTGGCTTAAACCCACCAATCAGAGTGCTCTGAGCCTAATTGCAGGGCGGGGCAAGGCTTTATAAGCCTTCCCCTGCCCTGCAGAGCTCAGTCTGCATGGAGCCCTCCATGGGTGAAGATGGATTATTTTTCTTTGCGCTCGTTTTTTTTTTTTTTAATTGCGTCGGTTATAATGGATTTTTATTTGGCCTTTTTTGGGGCTGAAAAAAGAAGATTTTAGAAGAAAGAAAACATCGAATGGTAAGTTTTATTTTATTTACAGGTACTTAGTTAAAGGTCCCCCCCTCATTATTTTTAGGGTGAGGGGGGCAGGTAGGGGGTTTGTTTTTTTGGGGGGGAGGGGGTGACTAGGGGTTTGGGGACCCCTAGTCACCTGGGGGGAGGTAACACTTTTTTTTAGGGCCCCCACCAGCCGCTCAGGGGTGGGGGCCGGGGGGAGGACAATCGGTCCCCCCTATTGGTATTTAGGGCCCCCACCCGCCGCTCAGGGGTGGGAGCCAGGGGGGAGGACATTAGGTGTCCCCCTTATTAGTATTTAGGGCCCCCACCCAGCGCTCAGGGGTGGGGCCAGGGGGGAGGATGTTAGGTCCCCCCCTTATTTTACTGTAGGGCCCCCACCCACCGCTCAGGAGTGGGGGCCAGGGGGGAGGACATTAGGTCCCCCCCCTTATTATAATTTAGGGCCCCCACCCACTGCTCAGGGGTGGGGGCCAGGGGGGAGGACATTGGGTCCCCCCCCTTATTCTGATTTAGAAATGCTGCTCAGGGGTGGGGGTGGGGGGGGGCAATAGGACCTTTTTTTTTTTTTTAAATAGATATGCCCCTACTCGCGGTATAGTGTAGAGTAGGGGCATAATTTACTAATACCAAGTAATCTTTACTTAGTATTAGTAAATTTGGCTGAAAGACCAATTTAGGTCTTTCAGCCTTTTAGTAGATAGCTCCCTAATACTGTGGGAATTAGGGAGTTATCCACTTATTCATTCCTGTCATTACATTGACAGGCTAAGTAACTTACATTTTATATGAATGTGTGTTACTTGATTCTTGTAAGTGTTGCAAATGCTTACAGCTGAATCCTGGCTATGTTTGTATACTTTGTATTTAAAATTGGAGGCGGTGACCGTGGTGGTGGAGGAGGAAGCAACGGTGGAGGAGGAGGATGAGGTAGCCAACACTGTATTTTATGTTTTTGTTTTTTTTAATTGTGATAGCCCATAAAATATTGGGACATACAAATAAAGAAACATTTGCGGCCTGCAGTGCATTTCTTGCAGTCCTGATGCATGGAGAAATGCTCAACTCCTGATGCATGGAGAAAAGGCCTTCACAAGCCTCTGCTATTGTGAACATAGTTTATACTAAGTGACCCATAGGTTGAGGAGGCGGTGACCTTGGCGGTGTAGGTGGAAGCGGCGGTGGAGGAGGAGGTAGCCAGCACTGTTTTTTATTTTATTTGTTTAATTGGGGTAGCCCCCAAAATATTTGGACATATAAAAAAAGAAACAATTTGCAGTCTGCGGTGCATTTCTTGCAGTCCTGATGCATGGAGAAATGCTCAACTCCTGATGCATGGAGAAAAGGCCTTCACAAGCCTCTGCTAATGTGTACCTAGTTTATACTAAGTGACCCATAGGTTGAGGAGGCGGTGACCGTGGCGGTGTAGGTGGAAGCAGCGGTGGAGGAGGAGGAGGTGGTAGCCAACACTGTTTCTTTTTTTTTATTTTTTTTATTTATTGGGGTAGCCACCAAAACAAAGAATAAGTGCACTTGAGTATAACAATGGCTGGGTGAGGCTGGTATAAATGTCTATTCTGCACAAGGTACAGACAAGTCTGGTGGGATGTTTGCTGTGGACAGGCGGCTGCGCTTGTCTGTAATAACACCCCCTGCCGTGCTAAACACACGTTCAGACAATACCTCCAAGGCATAAAGGGCAAGCTCAGGCCATGTGCCCAATTTGGAGACCCAGAAGTTGAATGGGGCAGACCCATCAGTCAGTATGTGTAGGCGTGTGCACACCATGTTGCTGAAATGCTGCCTCCTGCTAAGACATTCCATATCTGATGGTGGTGCTGATTGTTGTGGTGTGCTGACAAAGCTTTTCCACATTTCGGCCATGCTAACCCTGCCTTCTGAGGTGCTGGTGGTGCCCCAGCTGCGTTGGCAACCTCTTCCTCCTCCTCTGCCTTTGCCTTGTGCTTCCTCTGAGCCTCCGGTGTCAGTTGGGAATGCCCTCAGCAGCGCGTCTATCAGCGTGAGCTTGTAGTTGCGCATCTTCCGATCACGCTCCAGTGAGGGAATTAAGGACGGCACATTGTCCTTGTAACGGGGATCCAGCAGGGTGGCACCCAGTAATCAGAACAAGTTAGAATGTGGGCAACTCGGCAGTCGTTGCACATGCACTGCAGCATGTAGTCGCTCATGTGTGCCAGGCTGCCCAGAGGCAAGGACAAGCTGTCCTCTGTGGGAGGTGTATTGTCTGTGTCCTCTGTATCCCCCCAGCCACGCTCCAGTGATGCCCACGAGCTGCGTTGAGTGCCACCCTGCTGTGAACACGGTTCCTCCTCCTCCTCCTCCTCCTCCTCCAGAACTGTGCCCTCGCTGTACAATCGTGTACCTGGCCTATGCTGGTGCAGGAACCCAACCTCCAAGCCACTTGTGAATAACTGTCCTGATAACCGTGGAAATGACCCCTCCTCTTCCTCCTGTGCCACATCCTTTTCCATCTTCGCCTGCAGCATTTTTTCAAAGAGACATAGAAGCGGGATAGCGCCATCGGAAAACGGCGCCATCGGAACTGGCCATGTTGGTGGAGTACTCAAAACAGTGCAAAATGGCACACAGTCTCGCATGGAGGCCCACTCATTGGTGCTGAAGTGGTGCTGTTCTGCAGAGCGACTGACCCATGCTTGCTGCATCTGAAACTCCACTATCGCCTGCTGCTGCTTGCACAGTCTCTCTAGCATGTGCAAGGTGGAATTCCACCTTGTGGGCACATCACATATGAGGCAGTGAACGGAAAGGCCGAAGTTACGCTGCAGCACAGACAGGTGAGCAGCAGCAGGGTGAGAACCCCGAAAACGCGCACAGATGGCCCACACTTTCTGCAGCAGCTCTGATATATAGTAGTTTTTCAGGAATTTCTGCACCACCAAATTCAGCACATGCGCCAGGCAAGGGATGTGCGGCAAACAAGCTAGGCCCAGAACTGCTATGAGATTTCGCCCATTATCGCACACCACCAGGCTGGGCTTGAGGCTCAGTGGCAACATCCACTCATCGGTCTGTTGTTCCATGCCCGTCCACAGCTCCTGCGCGGTGTGGGGTTTTTCCCCCAAACATATCAGTTTTAAAACAGCCTGCTGTCGGGGCGTTGCTTAACGCTGGAGCTGAGCGGATGCATGTAAGCACTGCTCCCGGCGTTGAAACTGAACCGGGCGAAAACTAACCGGTAAGACGAGCGGGAACCTCCAGGTCTCCGGGGGATAGCGCACACCATGTCCCAGCGCCCCAAAAATAAAGCAGGGAAGGCGGAGCGAGACTCGCGTCAGCTAAGCAGCGTGAGGAAGGGGAGCCTGCACAAGATGGCGGCGACCTGAAGCTGCGGGAAAACTCCCCCCCCATAACACAGCATCCCCCGCACGAAGCATGGATGACGTTAGGCGGAATAAGGGCCTAAATGTCAGAATTCTCTGACACTATTCAACAAAACATGCAGCAGCAGTTACAAACCCTGACAGCAGACCTGCAGAGAGAGCTGCAGGAGATAGGAAACCGCACAGCTCAAATGGAGTCTAAAATGGAAAAATATGTAGAGGCACATAATAGTCTGGCTGACAAACTACAGGAATTTGATGATATTCTGGAGTCCCACAGGCTCAAATTAGCTGACATGGAAGATAGGGCGAAGAGGAACAATCTGCGGTTCAGAGGAATACCCGAAACGGTTCCCAACGCCGAACTGCAACACTATCTATCAAAAATGTTCCAGAGCCTCGTACCAGAACTACATCCAGATCAACTGATAATTGATAGAGCACACAGGCTGTGCAGACCGAAACACCTACCACAAACGGCAGTGAGAGATGTGATTGCTAGAATACACTTTTTTCATGCAAAAGATCGAATCTTGCGAGCTAGTAGGAGTTCGGGTATGCCGCCTGAGTACAGTTCCCTCAAGATCTTCGCAGACATATCAGCGGACACTCTCCACTTCCGAAAATCAATGGTGCCGATTACTTCCATCCTGCAGGAGGACACCATGATCTACAGATGGGGATTCCCCGCCAAACTTCTGATCTCCCACCAAGACGCAATACACTCCATCACAACTCTGAAACAGGGCGCTCAGAAACTGGGCGATTGGGGGCTCACTCAACCGGCACCAGAATCGACGAAATCGAGGACAGTACCTAGGAGGTTGCCAGAATGGACTGTCAAATGAAAGACTGTTGCTTTCCTGGAGCATACGTAACTATATCTTAGTTCTGACCGATTTTAATCGCTAAATCTTTCTGTTGCAGTTATAATTTCATCCCTCCTTAGCCGTACTGTAAATGGTTAAATGTTGTGTGCATGCCATAGTACAGCTCGCAATAAGTAGCATGAATTGCTGGCTAGAATGTGACACTGCCTCACGGGGATATAAGCACGCCGGTTGGTTAACTTAGGCACACACATGAAACAAAGCAAGGCTATACCCAGGGAATTGTTAAACCTCTCATGTATTCGAGACCTGTCAGTTTGTTCTTCATTTGGTGTTACAACTGCCCTTTGGTTTCACGATGAAGTCCACTATGAGTGAAGACCTCATCACCACTACCCCCACCGGACGTGCCTATCGAGTGGGCAAAGCCTTATGGCTCCACTACTTGGAGCCGAGTTGGGTGTATTACCCACAAGTTCTCCCTCTCCTAGTTTACTCCTCCCAATGCCCTGGCCCATTCTTCCTCAGTCACGAGACTAACTGTCGATACAGCAGTGCCTCCACAAACAAGGGATGCTGGCGTGTAGTGAAAACACCTCAGCGTTTGCAGCAACCCTGCTTGAACCTTATAGCATTTCCTTTACATCTCTACAACCATGGTTAGGATACTAACGCATAATGTGAAGGGTCTAAACTCCCCTGGTAAACGTAGGCTGTTATCGCAGGAACTTAAAAAAGAGGGGGTAGACGTTGCCTGTATTCAGGAAAAGCACTTCACCAAGAACCGAACCCCTGCACTCTTCACTAAACACTATACAACACAGTACCATGCACTTTCTGACAACAAAACGAAAGGAGTCTCTATTCTCATACACAAGGACATGGCGTTTCAAGAACAAGCAATTTCGGTAGACCCCCAGGGTAGATACATAATTCTAGTAGGCCTCTTCAATAACGTCCAGTATACCCTGACCTCTGTATATTTCCCCAACACAGGCTCAGAAAAATTCTTAAGATTCATACTCAAAGAGATAGACAAGATAAGACAGGGGGGACTGGTGGTGTGCAGGGATTTTAACTTTATAATATCTCCAGAGATGGACTCAACCGCACTTGCTAGGCGAGCGACTATAACATCCACGGGTAATAGGCTGTCCAAAATGCTGGCACTTCATAACCTATACGATAGCTGGAGAGTCCTCCACCAGAATGAACGTGATTATTCCTTCCACTCCAAAGCGCACAATACCTACACCCGCATAGACACCTTCTATGTGGACCAACCCATCTTAGCACAGGTAGCCAAATGTACCATTGGAGAAATAACTTGGTCCGATCACAAATTCCAGTTCAAAGGTAGAGGGAACTGGAGACTAAATGAATCTTTACTACAGGACAGTAAATTCGTAGATCAGATAGGGGTCGAACTTAAAAATTATTTTCAAATAAACTCTAACGGGGACACTTCGGTCCTGAATACCTGGTCGGCCCACAAAGCCGTAGTCCGGGGCTTATTTATTAGACAGTCCTCGTATCTTAAAAAACACAGACAAACAACCATTTTAGCCTGCCACACCCAATTAACAGCTTTAACTGCACAAAATAAACGTACTCCCTCACGAACCCTGGCACGTCAAATCCAAGCTTAAACGGACAAACTTACCGAACTAAACGCGGCAAAAACTTCATACCTCCTACACAAATTGAAAGCGACCCACTATCACCACAGTGGGAAAGCTACCAGGCATTTGGCTACCAGATTGAAAGCTAAACTAGCAGCTATGAAAATAGCATACATACAGGCAGGGATGGACTGACTGCCTCCTGGGCCCCCGGACAAAATTAGATCCAGGGCCCTTCAAGACAAAATATTAAAGGAGCACTATAGTGCCCCCCTCCCGCTTCAACCACTTACCTTTCTCCTGCGCCGGGCTCCCTCGGCTCTGGGGAATTCTCGCATTCTCGAATTCAGCGCACGCATTCACAGTATGAATTGCGGAAGCACCTCTAGCAGCTGTCAGTGAGACAGCAACAGAAGCTGGATTAACCCTTAGTGAAACATAGCAGTTTCTCTGAAACTGCTTTGTTTTCAGCTGCAGGGTTAAAACTAGAGGGACCTGGCACCCAGACCACTTCATTGAGCTGAAGTGGTCTGGGTGCCTATAGTGGTCCTTTAAGGACTAAGTAAATGTTAAAAATAATTTTAAAGTAAGTAGTCAAACAGTTTGACAACTTACCTGGGGTCTGCTATGATATGAGGCTGTAGTAGGGCATAGGAGCAGTGGTGTGTGTGAGTGGTGCAGTGTGTGTGAAAGGTTCAGTGTGTGTGTGGGGGGGGTGTAGTGAGTGAATGTGTAGGGTGTGTGGGGCAATGTGTGTGTGTATGTGGGGCTGTGTATGTGTGTGTGTGTGGGCAGTGTATGTGTATGGGGGGCAGTGTGTGAATGTGTATGGTGTCAGGGCAGTGTATGTGTGTCGGGGCAATGTGTGTATGGGGAGGGCAGTGTGTGGGGGCAATGTAAGTGTGGGGGCAGTGTGTGTGTATGTGTACGGTGTGTGTGGGGGCAGTGTGTGTATGGGGGGCAGTGTATGTATGTGTGGGGCAATGTGTGTGTGTATATATGTGTGGGCAGTGTATGCAGTGTGTGTGTATATATGGGTGGGCAGTGTGTATATATGGGTGAGCAGTGTGTGAATATATGGGTGAGCAGTGTGTGTGTATATATATGGGTGGGCGGTGTATGCAGTGTATGTGTATATATGGGTGGGCAGTGTGTGTGTGGGGCAGTGTGTGTGTGTGCATATGTGTATATATATATGGGTGGGCAGTGTGTGTATGTGGGTGGGCAGTGTATGTATATGGGTGGGCAGTGTGTGTATATAGGTGGGCAGTGTGTGTATATGGGTGGGCAGTGTGTGTATATGGGTGGGCAGTGTGTGTATATGGGTGGGCAGTGTGTGTATATGGGTGGGCAGTGTATGTATGTGTGGGGCAGTGTGTGTATATAGGTGGCAGTGTGTATGTATATGGGTGGGCAGTGTGGCATGTATATGTGGGTAAGCAGTGTGTGTATATAGGCGGGCAGGTATGCATATAGGTAAGGTGTGTATATAGGTGGCAGTGTGTGTATATGGTGGGTGTGTGTATATGTATGGGCAGTGTGTGTATATAAGTGGGCAGTGTATGTATATGGGTAAGCAGTGTGTATATGGGTGTGGGCAGTGTATGTATATTGGTAAGCAGTGTGGTGTATAAGGGTGGCAGTGTGTGTATAAGGGTGGGCAGTGTAAGAAGGAGTGTAAGGTGTATATATATGGGTGGGCAGTGTATATATATATAGGTGGGCAGTGTATGTATATAGGTGGGCAGTGTGTGTATATAGGTGGGCAGTGTATGTATATAGGTGGGCAGTGTGTGTATATAGGTGGGCAGTGTATGTATATAGGTGGGCAGTGTGTGTATATAGGTGGGCAGTGTGTGTATTTGGGTGGGCAGTGTGTGTATATGGGTGGGCAGTGTATGTATATGGGCGGGCAGTGTGTGTATATGGGTGGGCAGTGTGTGTATATGGGTGGGCAGTGTGTGTATATGGGTGGGCAGTGTGTGTATATGGGTGGGCAGTGTGTGTATATGGGTGGGCAGTGTATGTATATGGGTGGGCAGTGTATGTATATGGGTGGGCAGTGTGTGTATATGGGTGGGCAGTGTGTGTATATAGGTGGGGGACAGTGTATATGGGTGGGCAGTGTATGTATATAGGTGGGCAGTGTGTGTATATGGGTGGGGGGCAGTGTATGTGTGTATGGGCCTGCTTACCTGTACAATGTGATGTTTTTCTTCCTCCAGTAGCAGTGGGGCAGACAGGCTCCTTCTCACCCTCCATCCACGCTGTATGTGTGCTCCGTGTGAGAGGGAAGCAGGGGGTGAAGTCACTTCCTGCCCCGCCTCCCATCCTCACACTGAGCACAGAGCAGGGGGAGAGAGAGAGAGGAGACCTGGCAGTGGGAGGTGTGCTGCCAAGTCTCACACTGAATGGGGAGGGGTATTTGCAGACTGTTGGGTTGCAGGGGCCCTTAGAGTCATTATGGGCCCCTGCAACCTTATTACAGCGCTTTCTTACTTCTGCTGTGGAGATCTCTGATCTGATCTCCACAGCAGAAGCATGACTGAGCTGCCGGGCCCCCTGACTGACTCGGGCCCTCGGTCCATGACCGATCTGCCCAACCTGTCAGTCCGCCCCTGCATACAGGGCCCTGACGGCAGCAAAATACAAAACCCACTAGATATCACTCAAGAGTTTGCACGATATTACTCAAATTTGTACAACTTGGGTGACAGGCCAGATACCCCCAAAATACAAGATAGGAATATCAAGGAGTTCTTGTCCCGACTCCCCATTCCTAAAGTAACCCAGAACCAAAGGGAATTACTACCTATTACCTTAACAGAAGTCCTCCACACGATAAAAAACCTGCCCTCTGGAAAATCTCCAGGGGCAGACGGCCTACCCAACCTATATTATAAAACATTTGCAGAAGTGCTAGGCCCAAAACTTGTTCAAGTATTTCAAGCGGCTACAGAACTGGGAGAACTTACCCCTGAGATGCTGCTCGCAACTATAGTTACTCTACCAAAACCAGGGAAATCCCCAGACCAATGTAAGAATTTCCGACCAATATCACTATTAAACACAGATGCTAAGATATATGCAAAGATCTTGGCCTCCAGATTGGGCACGATCCTACCTTCCATCATTAATGACGACCAAACGGGGTTTGTGATGGGAAGGCAGAGGCTAGACAACACCCGCAAATTGTCTCTTCTCATAGAAGACATGAGGAGGTCTGGCCCAGGCGGGCTGCTCTTAGCTCTGAAAAAGCGTTTGACCGCCTGGGCTGGTCCTTCTTAAGTCCTGTTAATATTCAGCTTTCCACAACAGTTCATCCAACAAGTATTCGTCCTATATTCTCAACCCAGAGCCCAAGTACTGCAGGCGGGATTTAAATCAGACCCTTTTAGAATAACAAATCGCACACGATATGGCTGTCCCTTGTCTCCTCTGCTGTATGTGCTGGCCCTGGAGCCCTTGCTGATAGCCATTAGAACTCACCCTGGCATCAAAGGCGTCAACTGGCATGGCAGGCAAATTAAGATCAGCGCATTTGCGGATGATATCCTACTATATGTCTCCCAACCCGATAACTCCCTACCGTATATAATGCAACTTATCAAGGAGTACGGGGATCTCTCCTACTACTCACTCAACACTTCCAAAACGCAGGCATTAGGGCTGCGCTTGGACCCACAGATCCTCGCACAATTACGCAAAGATTACCAATTTGAATGGAGGTCAAACGATATCAAATACCTAGGCCTGACGTTTACTAGGAAAGCCTCTGATATGTTCCCAACTAATTACATCAGGTTGTGGAATGAGTTCTTGTCTTTATTGTGGGGTTGGGGAAAACTGTTCCTTACGTGGATGGAACGCATTGTGGCTATTAAAATGTCTATCTTACCGAAACTTCAATATGTGTTTAGAAACCTCCCGCTGAAGGTGCCACAATCTTTTTTTAAAACCGTTCAATCTAAGCTGCTTCAGTTTACCTGGGGAGAGAGACAATCAAGAGTATCTTGCAACCTATTGACCGCACCAGTGCGTCAGGGGGGAATGGCATTCCCAAACATAAAGTCCTATTACCAGGCTGCAGTAATTGCTCCCCTATTGACACACCTGGAGAGGGATAACAGACCACAATGGGTAACTTTAGAAAACCTAGCTATCAAACCCTTTCTTACCGCTAACCTGATATGGCTGCACAAACGGAGCAGACCAAAACCCACCTCCATACCTGCACAAGTACATCTAGCGTTGCAATTTTGGGATCTACACAGAAAGAAATTCGAGACAGCTAAACCACTCTCAATGGCAACACCCATAGAGGCCATGACATACTACATCCCAACATTTCACGCATCACCGTGGAAGGAGAGGGGAATCTCACACCTAGCTCAGGTTTATGAGTCGGGCAAACTACTGAGTTTTGAGTGCCTCCATGCAACTCACAACTTGCCACACACATCACAATATTCATACATTCAACTTAAATCCTTTTTGCGGGCAGCTCATAGAGATTGTATAACAGAGACTAACCACACTGAAGAGCTTTCGATATGGGAACAAACAAGCCTCACATGCAAAATCCCCCTAACCTTCAAACCACTCTCTGGATGCTATAGGCTTATCCTGCCGTGCCAGCACATATCTGGCTTTACGTCAGCGAGCCAATGGGAACTGGATCTTCAAACCTCCTTCACTGAGGGTCGGTGGTCCAGTATCATCTCCTCTGTTAGGAAGTTGATTAAATCTGCTCCACTGATAGAACAACACCAAAAAACGATATATCGATGGTACATGGTCTCATTACGTTTGCATAAATTATATCCCCACACATCTACGATGTGTTGGAGATGCAAACAAGATAAAGGGTCAGTTCTTCACATTTGGTGGAGATGTCCACGCCTAATCAGGTATTGGGAGGACATTCAAAAGATTATTGTTGAGGCCACTGGTATTCAGATACCCCTTGATCCCAAGACCTTTCTACTACTAGACATTCCCAGGGGAATATCCCACAAAATCGAAGAAACGAATGTACCATGTCCTGCTAACTGCGCAAAAACTGATACCAAGACGCTGGAAGTCAAGTGAGACCCCTAGCATCCCCTATCTCATTCAGGAAGTAGACACTCAATCCATGTATGAAATGAGTTTCTCTAGGGCGTACACTAGACCGAGCCACCTTAGCGACATGTGGGATCAGCGGAGGGTATGGAGATCATCCAACATACAACACTCAAGTCGTTAGGCATCTTAGCAGGACTTCACACTAGCCGCGGCTCGTGGCTTGGGGCCAGATACTAAGACATCTAACACATGGGTAATTTTAAGACAAGTTTGGTATTGGGAATTATGCTTGGACGAACGGGTTGGATGGAACAAGATGTGTTAAGAGAAATCGGAATACTGTGTACCGCTGTATCAATGCAATTACATGTGTACATTTCTTATGTATAATCCTGGATAACATATGATTTATTGTAACGTGACTGACCCCTCCCCCCTCCCTCCTTACCCCACTCCTATTTCTTCTTTCTTTACTACACCCTCCTTCCCCATACTTATCGGTTGTGTAAACCAATAAACTACAAGTTAAAAAAAAAAAAAAAAAGCCTGCTGTCGTTTCCCCCTGGCTGTGCTGAAGTTGGTGGTGAAGGTATTACGCTGCCCGGATGAGGTGGTGGTAAAGGAGGAGGAAGCGGAGTAGGAGGAGGAAGCGGCAGGATGCAAAGAGAAATGCTGTGCAATCCTCGGTGGCGGAAGGACATGCACCAAACTGCTATCCGCATCAGGCCCAGCCGCCACTACATTTGCCCAGTGTGCAGTTAGGGAGATATAGCGTCCCTGCCCGTGCTTACTGGTCCACATATCTGTGATTATGTGGACCTTGCCACTAATGGAGTTGCGCAGTGCACACCTGATTTTGTCCACCAATTGGTTGTGCAGGGAAGGGATGGCTCGCCTGGAGAAGTAGTGGCGTCTGGGAACCACGTACTGTTGGACAGCCACCGCCATCATGTTTTTAAAACTGTCCGTCTCCAGCAGACGGAATGACAGCATTTCAAAGGCCATGAATTTTGAAATGCTGGCATTCAGGGATCGCGGGTGGGTAGGTGCGTGCTTCCTCTTTCTCTCCAGTGTTTGAGAGATGGACAGCTGAACGCTTCCATGGGACACTGTGGAGATGCTTGGGGACGGTGGCGGACGTGGTGGCGTTGCTGCCACATCCTCTGTATGTGGGGTGGCAGGTGCCACTGTCACTTCAGAGGTGGAGGAAAAGGCTGAGACAGCAGCAGAAGAGGAAGCAGGAGGAGCCTGAGACTTTTCTTGGTTTTTGATGTGCTTACTCCACTGCAGCTCGTGCTTTGCATGTAGATGTCTGGTCATGCAGGTTGTGCTCAGGTTTAGCACGTTTATGCCTCATTCAGGCTCTGATTGCACAGCGTGCAAACCACTCGTGTCTTGTCTTCAGCACATTGTCTGAAGAACTGCCACACCAGGGAACTCGTTGGAGCTGGCTTTGGTGTGCTCGGTCCCTGGGTGCGGTGGGCAGTAACAGGCGTACCGTCTCAGGGAAGGCCGCTCAGCTTTTACACCCTGCTCCCTCTTATGCTGTGCTGGTGCCTCTGTGCGACCACCGCCTCTTTCTCCAAACTGGGCACGTCACTTGCATGACCTTGATGCCATGTGGGGTCTAGGACCTCATCATCTTCCACATCATCTTCCACCCACTCCTCAACCCTGCCTTCCTTGCCGGTCTGCACACTGCCGAAAGCCACAGCAGTTGGCACCTGTGTTTTGTCATCATCAGAGACGTGCTGCGGTGGTCCTTGCATGTCCACACATAAGTGGTTGTGCATCAGTGCACTCAATCCCTTCCACTTCTGGGGCAGAACTAGGTGGATGGCCCATGGAAACCCCACCAGCAGAGTCATCAAAAAGCATAAGAGGCTGCTGCATGACTTGTGGCTTAGACTGCTTGGGTGATTTGCAAGGGGGTGAGGTGATAGACCATGGGCCATGGGCTGCAGGTGCCAACTCTGAGCTTTCAGCAGGGCACCGGGTGGGAGACAATGTGCAGGAACTGGAGGCACTGTCAGCCATCCAATCTACTATCGCCTGTACTTGTTCTGGCCTCACCATTCGTAGAGCATTATTCAGGCCTACCAAATAACGCTGAAGGTTCTGTCGCGTACTGGCACATGAGGAAGGTGTTTCGCTTGTGCGTGTAGCTGGCACAGATCGACCACGTCCTCTCCTTGCAACAGGGATACCACCAACACCAGAAGCACCATGACCAGGGCCACGTCCCTTATTTGACGCTCTCCTCATTCTTTGCGTTCACCCACCAAACTAACAGATGTTTTATGTCAAGCGACAATGTAACTGCCAACAGTCAACAATATATATTTTTTTTAGTTTATTGGACTGCAAGAAATGCACCGCAGGCCGCAAATGTTCTATTTAGCACAGAAAAAATAGAATGTAACCGCACTATTAGACGCTTCTATTTGACTCTCAGATATGAAGTGCAGTCCGCAAATGTACTATTTAGCAGATTAGCACCCAGAAAATAATAGTGTTTACCACTGCGCAGTAAACACAGTATTTGACGATTCTATTTGACTCTCAGATATGAAGACCAGGCCACAAAATGTACTATTTAGCAGTTTAGCACCAAAACTATTAGAATGTTTACAATTGCGCTGTAACCGCAGTATTTGACGCTTCTATTTGACTCTCAGATATGAAGAGCAGGCCACAAAATGTACTATTTAGTAGATTAGCACCCAGAAAATAAGAATGTTTACCACTGCGCTGTAAGCACACTATTAGACGCTTCTATTTGACTCTCAGATATGAAGTGCAGTCCGCAAATGTACTATTTAGCAGATTAGCACCCAGAAAATAAGAATGTTTACCACTGCGCTGTAAGCACACAATGAGACGCTTCTATTTGACTCTCAGATATGAAGTGCACCACACTAAAATACTATTTAGCAGTTTAGGACCCAAATAATTTTAAGTTTTAAAACTGCAATGTGACCGCATTATTTGACGTTTCAATTTGACTCTAAGATATGAAGTGCACCCCACTAATGTACTTTTTAAGACCCCAAAAAATTTAAGTTTTAAAACTGCAATGTGACAGCAGTATTTGACGATTCTATTTGACTCTCAGATATGAAGTGCACCCCACTAATGTACTACCCCACTTATGTACTATTTAGCACCAAAAATAAATTACTTTTTAAAACTCCGATGTAACCGCGGTATTTGAAGCTTCTATTTGACTCTCATATATGTACTAGATTGCAGAATTCTTTCCTAAGCTGTCCTCAACGGCAGCATCCTCTCCCTACACTAATAAGACAGCATGTGCGTGAGGCGCTACATGACTCCAGCTTATATATAGAGGCTGGGTCACATGCTGCACTGGCCAATCACAGCCATGCCATTAATAGGCATGGCTGTGATGGCTTCTAAGGGCACACAAGTCAAACGCTTGTTGATTGGCTGCCCTCCAGCCTTTGAAAACGCACCATTAAATCGCCGAACACCGAACTCCAACCCGAACATACAGTGATATGTCCGTGTTCGGGTCCGGGGTCCAAAAAACCTAATGTTCGGTACGAACCCGAACTTTTCAGTTCGGATTCGCTCAACTCTAACCATAATCCCAAGCAGCATATCCCTTAGAAAACTTCTTTAGCATGCAAGACAAAGGATTACCAATCTTTGAATCAGATGCACCCATGATTTCAATGGAGAGTTTGACTCAAAACAGTCCAAATATACAAATACAATGATAATCGATACACAAAGCTTCTTTAGCGGTTACCAGACACACACACAGGATCCTCACATGTTTCACAATATTAATGACGTCAAACAGAACAGAGTCAAAACTCACCAAAAGCTATACAATTATCTATATAGTTAATCAATGTCTAAACCACCTGATTGTCTAATATTACTACAACCCCGTACCAACAGTCGGTTGTTATAGTGTTGGTTGTTATGGTGTCGGTGGTTATTGTGTTGGTGGTTATGGTCTGCTAAACAACATATACATCAAAATGTAGCAAGACATACACATTATAAACCGGACGAGACAATATTTACACCAGAACTAAACAGTATTTTTGGTTTTTCGAGATCTAGTGAACTAAATTTACAACAGAATTCAACTAGTCTACTCACTCCAGAATCCACAATCTAGTGAACGGAATTTACAACAGAGTTCAACCAGTCCAGAAACCAGAATCCGAACATACTTCGAGATCTAGCGAATGGAATTTACAACAGAATTTGGCTAGTCTACTCGCTCCAGAATCCGCGATCTAGTGAAAGGAATTTACAACAGAGTTCAACTAGTCCAGAAACCAGAATCTGACTGAACATATATACACCAGAATTCAGCTAGACAAATAGACCTTATGCTAAACGGGCTAGCTACAGAGCGTTTAGCTTAAATAGGTGATCAGCCCCCTCTTCTTTCCGATGGGAAAGGTCAAATACCAGATATAGATTTAACCCCTAATGGGTTTACCCTCAGTTCCTGAACCCAGGATCGGAATTAATCGATGGGACACCCCAATACCCACAGCGTAGAAGCCTATGGTCTCTTGGACGAAGAAGGCCCAATGGAAGGAAGTCCACGCAGTATCGGACCAGGGGTATTGCCGTGAAGAGGTGGGTATAATTTTCACC